CGAAACTACTGGACCGATTTGAAAAATTCTTTTTCCATTAGAAGCCGACCTTGTCCCTGATGAACATAGGCTACTTTTTTTTAATTTTTAAATTTTTATTTTTTGGTTTCATGTGTGTTTTAATGTTTCCGAAGCGAAGCGAGGGCGGGTCGCTAGTAATATATAGATAGATGTTATTCCTTCACCATAGAAGTCAATCGAGAACATTTGTTGAGTACGTATTTCATTAGAAAAATTGGTACCCGCCAGCGGGATTCGAATATTAATTCGAATAATAGCTTCAGTTCTGTCACAGTTACTGCAAATAGGACTGACGTTCTCTTAATAAAAGAACACAGCTGACGAATGTACAGCACATCGTTCAACGCAAGAATCACAACACACAACACTCACAACGACGAGGTCTTGTTGTTTGATGCTTGTATCAACGTTGTATTGTTTGTTTTACGTTTAATTCATCCATAGTTTTCGTTCATTCATTCGTTACTTTATCCGCGAAACAAACTTTGGTACAACAACATGGAGCAAGATACAATAAGAATGACAGTGACGTTTAGCACTGTCAACTATCCGATAGGCCATCCTCAGCCTTGCCAGAAATGCGCGAAATTTTCGATTTTTAATTAAATTTCCAACTAATCAAATACAGTAAAAGTACTTTTTTTTACAACAGAACTAAACGTTTTTTATCGTTAAAATTTTTTTATTATCATATAATCATTCATAAATTAAAAATTTGAAATGTTATATCACTACATAGTATAAAACAAAGTCGCTTCTCTGTCCCTATATCTGTCTGTCCCTATGTATGCTTAAATCTTTACAACTACGCAACGGATTTTGATGCGGTTTTTTTTAATAGATAGAGGGATTGAAGAGGAAGGTTTATATATATAATAACATCCATGAAATAGTGGATAAATCAATAATAAATTACAATTTCCGAAGCGAAGCGAGGGCGGGTCGCTAGTGTAGTATAAAATGTATTCATAATGTGAAATAACGTTATTCATTTTTTCATGAATAACAGAATATTGTCAGATTTTTCAATTTAAAGTTCTGGTAGATCCTTTTTACTGCAGCAGGGAAGGACCGTGCAGTGGGCGGTCCCCGGTAACCCCTAGCCAGCAGATCAACCGTGAGATCATCCACCTCCTCAACCAACAGGAAACAACAAAACATAACGCAATAACATCGAAACCAACAACATTCAACAGCTGAATTGCTGTTTACCTTTAACCTTATATCGCATTACGTAGTAGTCGAGAGCTTAAAACGAGCTTATTTGATTCGAAGCTTCCACGATAGAAAAAGCTCAATAATCCGGGATAGCATCCGATGCCAATAACATTAGCAATAGGGGTGGCAATCTTGAAGTTTTTTTATTATATTTTTATAATAAATGAATGTCAACAAACGACTACGCTAGACGGCTAGACGAGCTCATAGCTCATCTAGGCTTAAGCGGTCGTCGGGGCCCAAAGGCATCACGACGTGTATCCCCCCAACACGAGGACTGCGGTCGAAAATTTAATTGTTTTGTATAACGACTATCCTTCTCTCTTTGTTGAAGCGCCTAACTGCCCCGCGGCGGATATTAACAGTATGGTGGTATTTTACCCACACGGGCTCACAATGTGGCTTATTTTTTCTAACAGAGTAATGGACATCGCTGTGAGCACGTGTTGACTGCTTGGGTATTGGCTTTAAATATTAGTGAAGTCGGGGATAGTGTGATTCCTTCTCTATTTTTCCCTACCTATACTATACTAGATTCACAGAACTAATAGGTGAGCTCACGGGGCTCTAACCTGGTGACGTTGCTAACACTAGCCCTAGCAGCAGAAGAGCAGTGCTTTGCAGAATCTACCACGGATCGGAAACGCGATCCACTGAGAAGATCCGGCGAGAAACTCAGTGGGCTGCGTCTGAGAGTTCCTTATCAATGAACACTAGGTATGTCTAATTGAGAAAGCGTGTCTTCTGAGTGCATGATTCCACGGTGCGCCCACAAGATATCTGAGGAATGTGTGGCCCATACACACATCCACACTAGCAAAGGTAGTGAACACACTGTTATAATGTTTTAAGAAAATAACAAACAGCCAACTAATACAATGATTTGTTACTGAATGTATTCATTCGTATTTCAATAACCGCTCGTAATTATTGGACACGAAATAGATTCGAAAGAGACTTATTTCGAAGAACAAAGACATTTCGTGAATCTTTCATTGAACAGTCGAGACATTAGAAGACGGGTCACTTTGTTGTCTATGGAAGCGTATTTCTCATTAATTATTTGCTTTAATAAAAAGTATTTACGACAAGAACGATTACGAAGATTTTTTGTCTTTGATCTTTTTTTTCTTTCGTATTATTAATATCTTTTTTTTATTTTTTATTGCCCTTGTAGGCAGACGAGAATACGGCCCACCTTATGGTGAGTGGTTACCGTCGCCCATGGACTTCAGCAATGCCAGGGGCAGAGCCAAGCTGCTGCCTACCGCTTAATAATCTCCACAAGCCTCTTTTAAAGAAGGACATGTCATAGCGCTCGGGAAACACCGTGGAGGGGAGCTCATTCCATAGCCGGATGGTACGTGGCAAAAAAGATCTCTGGAAACGCACTGTGGATGACCGCAGTGGCTCCAGGTAGTATGGATGAACTCTACTCCGGTGGCGGGCGGTGCGATGGTAAAAACGAGATGCCGGTATCATCTCGAACAATTCCTCAGAGCACTCCCCATGGAACATTGGGTACAAAATACAGAGGGAACCGAAGTCCCTTCGCAGACCCAAAGGTTCTAAAATCTGTTTAATATTGACTTGTGATATAGNCCATTCAAATGTCTGTTCCACCCGAAAAGCGTGTCTGTTTCGCGGCAGACACAGAAATCAGGATGTGTCACCCCTGCGTAATTCCGCAAATGTAAATAATGAAATGTTCGGTATAAATCGCACACGCGGATCTCGCCTCAAACTAGAGCTCTATGTACTTTGGGAATCAGAGACTGATATCTGATACACATACTAGATATATTCTAGGCTAAACATTCAGACAAGAAGCAAACAAACCACACGAATGCTTGCTTCAAGTTGGAATCGAACTCAGGACTGGCAAAGACGTACAGCGTACATACAGCGCACGTACGGCCCTAAACAGTGACTCAAGGGGCATTGCTGACGACCATGGGCGACGGTAACCACTCATCATCAGGTGGCAGGTTTAAACATTAACGCGAAAAAAACTTGATAAAATCGGAAAAAAAAACTCTATTTGTTGTTTTTCTGTTGTATCATCAATAAAACTCATTTTTGCTGATTGATACAAAACCGATCGTGAGATATGTCACGTTTCCAATTAGCTACGTCGGAGGGCACTTCAACTTTTCCTTGGTTTTCTATTTTTCTTTGTATATTACGCTAATACAACGCGCCAAACTAAAATATCCTCTGTGGCCATCACAAGAAGTAGGTATAAGCAGGTGACGACATTGGTGAGGTTTGTGTAACACAGGTACCATGAGAGTGTCTGTCCCCGTCATTATAATCGCCTTATCGTTGCCACCGCTGACTACTCCCCGAATCCTGATCACGCAGGAGCAAGTCACCGTCGACGCCCTAGACACGTCCTTACGGATCCATCAGATCCAATAACCTTTGCATTAGACGCCTTCAGCTCTAACACTAGGAGCAGGCTTAGGGACCTCGGTAACCGTACTCGTCGAACTCGACGAAGAGGTCGACGTGCAACCTAACCCATGAATCAGCCCGCTGAGTTTCTCGCCGGATCTTCTCAGCGAGTCGCGATTCCGATCCTGTAGTAGATTTATTCGCGAAGCAATTGCTCTTAAGTTGTTAGGTCTCCTTCGGAGGCGCTCGGGTAGCTGTTAGCAAGTCCCACCCCTCCTGGTTGAGCCTTTGCTCCCCCGCCTGTCCTGGTGAAACTGGAAAGGCCTTCGGGCCACCAGTAATTTCTCAATCATAAAAAAAAAGTGTCTGTCCCGCTATAAAGATAAATAATAATTGTTCGTTCTTTCATCCTACAATATTTTTAAATTTAAAACAATAGCACAGAGACAATCTTCAAACAGCCACAAGAGCTTTCAATGGCTTGCTTCCCGTCACGCTCATTTCCGGTTCGACGATGACGTCGCTAATCGTGTGACGTGCATCCGGCGCGGATCCCATTTCCTCGGGTGTCGCTTGATTATAATATGTAGTACTTTCTTAACGGCTTAAAGTGTATTAGGTCCGCTTTCTGGCTACGCTTTTTTGATTCTTCTTCTTCTTTGTCGTTTCCTCACTACTGAGTGTCGTGACCACCTTGGTGCAGTTTTTGCACCAGCTTCCTCCAATGTTGCCTGCATTCGGCCTGCTTAATGGCGCCCGGGACGCTGGTGTTTGTGGCCTCCTTGACAATGACCGTCCACTTGGTTGGCAATCTTCCTCGACTTCTCTTTCCTTCCACATGACCTCCAACTATTAATTTTTCCAAGTTCTCAGGATTTTGTCGGGCCACGTGTCCGAAGTACTTGAGGAGACGCTGCATACTTTTTTGATTAGGATTGATTTATTGTTAATATTGTGGTAGTAGCCATCACAGAAGATATTTGACAGATGCCTGAATCTTGCTTACGACATTTTTTTCCTATCTATGCTAATAGCCTTAAGAGGCTATTTCAGCTTCGCCCTAATGTGTGTAGGTGAGCTCACGGGGCTCAAATCGGAGTGTTGCTAACACTGACCCTAGCAAGAGCAGTGCTTCGCAGAATCTACCACCGGGTCGGAAACGCGACCCACTGAGAAGATCCGGCGAGAAACTCAGTGGGCTATGTCTATGGTACAACATTTTCAAGATAAGCTTGCATACAAGTTCTGAACAACAACATTGGGACCGTCGGTCTACCGAGCAATATCACCCGCTCGGTGGAAGATCTTCCCTTTGTCGAATGCCTTCAGTATTAATGTTTGCGCTTGTACGTCACGACTCTTACCTTGGGTGGAGTACCAGCATTGTGGTGGCGGGCGGCGGCGGAATGCGCCCTGCGCGTGGCCTTGTAGTGCAGGCGTCGGAGGGCGCCGCCCGACCTTTCGGGGGAGTCCTCGCCGCGTGTTACTGTCATGTTACTGTCCACACCTGCGTATATTATTGTAATTATCACAAGTCGTCGTGGCTTAAAGGATAAGACGCCCGGTACATGCGTATCAAGCGATACGACTGTGCCGGTGTTCAAATCCCGCAGGCGAGCACCAATTTTTCTAATGAAATACGTACTTAACAAATGTTCAAACTCGCAAAATTATAACTTGTGTAATTATTAGTGGTAAGACGTCTTGTGAGTCCGCACACGTAGGTGCCACCACCCTGCCTATTTCTGGCGTGAAGCAGTAATGTATTTTAGTTTAAAGTGTGAGATAATAACCGTTGCACTGTTAAAACTGAGACCTTAAAACTCTGGTCTCAAAGTCGGTGGCTCCAGTAACCACTTAACACCAGGTGAATCGTGAGCTCGTCCACCCATTTAAGCAGTAAAAATAAACACACTAGTAAACCACTTTTACCACTAAATCAATGCTGCCGGACCCTCTGAAATCTATCTTCACAATCCGATGAACAGTTCAGAAGCGGTTGGAGGACAAACGTACAGGGAAACATCCGTTTTTATTAAGTGGATTGATAGAGAGTGATTACCTGCGGTGATTTCAGGGGAGGGTCGAGACGGCTGGATGTTGGGAGATTGGTGACGCCCATCCGACTGAAACAAAAACATTCATACAGTATCTGGACATGTCGTGGCCTGAAAGATAAAACGTCTACCGAATTCGTATTAATTATAACTACTCCGGTAATGACTTTGAAGATGAACGAACAACAAAGGTCGTGTAATAAAAATCGGTTGTCTGTAAAGTCGGTTTACTGACGATAGTTGAATGTGACAACGTCATAAGAAAATACTCATGGAATGGATTCATTTTTCAAAAGAAATTTTGAATTTTATTTGTTTGATAGATATTTTGTATGGACAATTAATACCACATTCACTTTTCACTGAACTTCATACTTGACGAAAACATGTAAATGTATTATTGTATGTATGCAGCTGTCCACGCGGATGCATCGCTCACTCAAGTAGGAGAGAGACAGATGTCGAACGCTGCCGAACGTGGAGGCCGATTGTGCCTCTTTGTCGCTCGTTGCGCGCTCTCGCTTGCACTTCAAGCCTTAAATGGAATGCCTCAGAGCGAGGTAACGCCGCATGATTCATGTTTTTTCGTGCGGGCAGCCGGCTCCATCGAATTATAAGACGTTGTCACGTCAAAAATTTGCGTTATTCCTGGTGGCTGGACGTATCGTGAAGCCCTACGGATCCGTACAACGATCCTGTCTATTTCAGATAAAAATGCTAATTGATTCCGGAGTCCCAGACCCTGTTGCGTATGTCGGTCAACACTACATCAACAGAAAGGCCGCATAGCAGCTCCGCCATATAACCTGCCATAACACTAAAATTCGACCTTTTAGCGCGCGGCTATCTGGTACAAATGACCCAAATAATTCGGTACAAGGTGAATGCGTTAAAGGTAAACTGCAGGTCGGGGAGGCACACAAGTCACGCTGAAAGCGTTGTTAAGGTGCTGCCTAATCGCAATCTGAAACGAGTCTTATTTAATGAGGAGTAGGGTCGATAGTTACCGCTGCGAATTTCTTGTGCCAAAATATAATTTTACGTCCAACCTACAAGTTGTATTAGAAATAGCACATGTTGTGTTGTTCTTTATTTTTTATTGCCCTTGTAGGCAGACGAGCATACGGCCCACCTGATAGTGACTGGTTACCGTCGCCCATGGACTTCAGCAATGCCAGGGGCAGAGCCAAGCCACTGCCTACCTCTTAATACTCGCTACAAGCCTCTTTTTAAGAAGGATATGTCATAGCGCTCGGGAAACACCGTGGAAGGGAGCTCATTCCATAGCCGGATGGTACGAGGATTTATTAGAAAAGCTTTTTAAAAAAAGAACTTTATTTAATTCTAATAATTAAAAGATTTGAAATTAACAATTGGAATTAATTGGGGCAAGTGCAACCAGGAGCACGGTTAGAATTGAACTGCGTGATCTATCGGCAACCTAACTAAGCTGCATTACGTCGTGCACCTTACATTGCATTTTTAGGTACATTAAAAATATATAACAGTACGTAGCAAAAAAGACCTCTGGAAACGCACTGTCGATGATCCAACTAATATGGATGAACTCTGCTCCGATGGCGGGAGGTGCTATGATAAAAGAAAATGAGGGGATCAAAATTCTTACTGAAATATTTGTTTTAATTGTACACTTGATCTATTCAAGATCTCACGGTCCACCCGGTATCAGTGTCGATAACCTGGTGCCCGGTTAACGACACATCGGGCGGAAGCCACTCCGCATCGGCTTTCAGAAACAAGCTCCAAGTCTCATTTATCTCGTCTGACATTGTCCTGTCTTCCAAACACCCCGGCTCACATAAATCACCAGATTAAAAGACTACTAGAACACACCGTTTTCAAAAACCACTTGTTTCACAAAAACACTCCAGATAAATCACACAACTGTGACGAATTTGAGAACTAAACCAGTAAAGTCAATTTGTAGTGAGTAAAGTCAATAAAGTAGAGTGCACTTTACCACTTTAGACTCTACAAAAGTGCCCACTCCGGACCAATTAGAAGAGAGACTAGCTCTCTTTCAGCGATACCTCCTGTAGTGGACTGTATTATTAGGATGGGCAAGGAACTTGATAAATAAACTCGCGAGGATTGCACGTATAAAATTTGCATATTTTTACAATTTTATAAATCGCGTACAATAACACGGATGAAAAGAGAATTACAAAACTAAGACATTTCAAAATTCAAAATTCAAATGTAATGTCAAAAACCACAACGACAACAATAAAAAGGTTTTATAACAATTTGTTGGGTTTCCAACACCTCCTACCCGTAAATGGACGCTGCACGCATTGAGACATTAGTCATATCCACTCACCGCGGATACTTATTGCTTCTCTTCACAAAAAGAACGAAGCATAGTTAATGAAACATATAACCCAATCTTAATCTGATCAACTGTATGTAATCAAGTTTTATTTCTATATTTTTTTCTAATAAATGTAATTATTAAAGATTTTGTTACTTATTACTTAGTGAAAAAGTATTATTCTGGATTTCATATTTCTTAAAACCATTCATTGTATTTTTATTCAATGATATTAATACGTGAAGCAAAAACTTTGTATCCCTTTTTACGAAAATTGCGCAGACGGAGGAGTGTGTAATTTTCCATACTTATACAGAACGTAGAGAAGAAGTGCACAATTCTAATATTTTTTGAAAATAATGCATAAAAGATACATTAAATCAATAAAGAAAACATTACACACACTACATACCATGTATTTGACGCACACATGCATGCATACTATTTATTGTCAAACTTTTGTTCTTGACGTCTGTTGTCAAATTGAGAATAGATTAAATATTGTTTGCCTTTGTTAATATTTTTTATAGTGTAGTCTTGGCGAAATTTGTGATTATAGAAGTATAAAATACTAGCGACCCGCCCTCGCTTCGCTTCGGAAACATTAAAACACACATGAAAACAAAAAAAAAAAAAAAAAAAAAAAAAAAAAAAAAAAAAAAAANTAAACAGTCGTGTCGTCGGCGAATAAAGCTAAATGGGTCGGCGGCGACCGGGGAATATCGTTGACGAATAAGCTAAATAGGAGGGGTGAGAGGACAGAGCCTTGCGGGACTCCAGCTGTGAGAGGTCGTGGGGAGGCGCGGGTTCCCTCGACTCGATATCGAAAAGAGCGGTTCGACAAGAAGTCCCGTATGATGAGCACAAGACTATCCGGCACACCCATGTTGAATAGTTTGAAAATCAAACCATTGTGCCAGACTTTGTCGAACGCTTTTGCGACGTCGAAGAAGAGAGCTCCCGTGTATAACGGTTTTGGTCGATTAAGCCCCACAAGAATGTGCTCCGTGAGGCGGTGCACCTGTTGAACGCATGAGTGATTTGTACGGAAGCCTATGTTCATCAGGGACAATGTCGGCTTCTAATGGAAAAATAATTTTTCAAATCGGTCCAGTAGTTTCGGAGCCTATTCGAAACAAACAAACAAACAAATCTTTCCTCTTTATAATATTAGTATAGATATAGACAATCATAATAGTGTACAAATTTACAATTTCAATTAATTATAGTTGAATTTCGACTACTGCGGGGCTTCTAGTTCAATTAATTTAATCAATTTCAAGCATATTTCAAGATGTTGTCAATTTGCCAATGTTTTGCATTGATGATCACTTTGTTGGTGCAACTAAATAAATAAATAGTTGATCTTTAGAACTAGACGAACTAGACGAGCCGGCCGTTTTGTTTTTATTTCAATTCAGTTTATTTCTTCTTTACTTATATTAATTATTGCTTTACTATTTTATTTGTTTCCCTCGTGATTTAACTTGTTTTATTGGCGAGAATCTTTAATTGGTTTTCTGTTTCTATTTGTTGTTATTATATTTTATGCTCTGATTTTATAATACCTTTAAGGAATTACTAGTTGTAGTTTAATGACTAGTTATCCAGGGTTGATCATTGGACAGGTAAAGAGAAAGTGCCGTCATCTTGTATTTACTGTACCACTTGGAACCACTGCGTCCATCCACAGTGGGCTTCCAGAGATATTTTCAGCCACGTAACATCCGGATTTGAAATGAATCATCCATGCTATTTAGCGAGTGCGATGAAACGGCCTTCATCAAAAAAACAATAGTTTAAGAAAACAAAAAATATACGCTTTTATAGAAATTCCAACTAAAAAATAGAATACAAATTTTATCAATTTGAATTAAAAATTGTGTAAGAAAAAATGATTTTATTGTAAAAAAAGCGTGGGGTGCTCTTAAGGATATTATCAAAATATTTATAACTATTGATACCACCCAAATTCAAGTTTATTAAAATTTATTTTCTATTTTTTAGTTGGATTTTCGATAAAAGCGTGTTTTTTTAAACTCTTTTAATTTTTATTATTCTTTTTTTACTTTATTTTTTTTTTAAATTTTCAAAACTTATCCGATAAATCGTGATCGGCGCGACTGGTAGTTTCCCTTCTTGGTCTTGTCGCAGGCAATCCGGGTCTCAGGAACCGCAGAAAAAAAAAGAAGCTAATCCTGATTATCCTAGTAAGGACTGATAGGTGAGCTCACACGCTCATCCTGAGAGAACTTACTAAAACTAGCCCCAGCAAGGGCAGTGCTTCGCAGGATCTACCACCGGAAAGAAATCGTGACCCACTGAGAAGATCCGGCGAGAAACTCTGTTGGCTGTGCCCATGGGATTGTTACGTTTAAATTATAAAGAAACACTAAAAATAGAACAATTTACATAAATTCGTAACGCGCGTTTTCGTCAACAAATAAGTAACAAATAAGTTTGATCTTGTCTATAAAAAAAGTTGGAATAATTTAGCTATTTAGTTTTTTTTTTTAAATATCACCAATAGAACAAAATAAAACATAAAACGTAAGCGAATCTAAGTCTTGCGTTGTCAGTGATTATAGTCGAATTTCGGTCATTGAGCGATCACTGGTTACATAAAAGGATCAATCCGACCTTTACGGCTTGGAGTCGGAGTTGTATGTGTTTGTATACGTTCTGTAGTCGAGCCTACGCTACGGTCTGATCCGTCTTGGTTGTTTGTAGATGTTCT